GAGTAAAAGGTTATTTCAGGACCTAGAAATCCGATTGTCTTTGATCTTATTTCTCGTCGTGCGAAGCGACTAAAGCTCTGAAGTTGGCTAAAATTTTCTCACAAATTCGTATATTTGTCGGAAAAATTCACGAAACCTCGTTAGGCACGTCTGGAGAGAGGAAATGAAAACTCTACAGTTGATTGATGACCTTTATTTTAAGTTGTTCGATCGATCAGCTGACGTTAACATTTACTGAAGACTTTTTTGAAATGCTTTCACGGAGTTGGCTTTTAAGAGGATATTTTGTACAAACTTACTCCATGTTTACTTCACTTCACCAAGTAATAACTTTGACTTTCACAAAAAACAAGTATTATAATGAATGGTTTTTACAGCTGGAGGTAGTAATTATGCTAATTGCTAGACTTGTGTATTTCGTTTAATACCTTCGTGTTGGTTTGAACTACACTAAAGTCTATGAGCATTGAATAATAAATTATCACACTAATGAAACAGGTATAAAATACGAGTTCCAAGTGTTATTACTGGCATGCGGTCGGCCATTACTATTATCGCTGATCTAGCATAACCCGTTAAACAGCCATCAAAGTGAGCAAACATAATTCCGTCATTAATGACGTCAAACATGGCTACAATCTGGCACATCGCTACGTCATCAGCTAAACCTTCCCCGGGCCATATTCCCACGGCTTATTATTTCGTGACAAGTAAACACTCGCCAGGAACCGCTTGAGGGATTGTTGTACGCGGTTATATCGAGGGTTACGATGTTTGTTCGCCAATCGTATTTGAGGGTAGTAAATAATCGGAGGTCGCGAGCTATTTGTTCTATTGAAATGACTAAGCATGTAAGAACTTGATCTCTCAGGAAATCTTTATAGGTAGGTACTCGTGTCTCCGGGGGACGGTTCGGATCTAAAGGTCATTGTATTCCCGCCTGTTATATGATTACACTGGCTTTTAGCTGCTCGATACACGGACACTTCTTAGAAATGTTTTGCGGATATATAATGTGGCGGCAAGTAATTGTGTTTGTTGTTGTTATCCATGCTAAGTAAGTAAGTTAAGTATTCGGGGTAAGAGTTTCGTTTGTATCTAGGAGCTATACTTTGTAGGTATTTCAAATTGGAAGCTGTTTATTTTTTTCTATAAAATAAAACCTTCTGAAAGGTCAGGCCTGACTGCATGGTAGGCTGGGTGGTTGGACAACCAACTAAGGTGTAGGGTTCGATTCCCGAACGGAGCAATTCTTTGTGTGATCCACATATTGTTGTTCCGGCTCCGGGTGTCATGTGCATGTGAACTTGTCACCTTTGTAGTAATACATACAGTCTATGTTATAGTCACTGTCCAGCTACATTTAGATACAATTTCATTATTAGTCTGCTTCAGGCAAGTAGTGATCAAAGCTGACTATTCTAAGAAATCCCGTAAGAAAAGGTCTTGTCCAGCAGTGGGACGGACAGGTGAAGGTTACTCACTATTACTGTATACTTTAAATATTTTGTTTGCAAGCGGACGCTTACCTACACTATCACCCTACAGTTTCTTAGTAAATCGTAATCGATGTTCACTTTAAACTGTCAAACACCGCGAGGACACCGGTGACCGCAACCTATTGTTCTTTAATTGTGTCTATAATGACGGTACTCAAAAGGTTAAAATATCTAATATAATATTTATAAAATAAAAGTCGCGTTAGTTACTCCATTTAGAACTCAAGAACAGCTAAATTAATTTAGGTGAAAATTAGTGGAGAGGTAGCTTGGAATTAGGTGACGGATTTCGATTTTTTTACTATTTACCGAAAATTACGAGTGCCAACGGGAAAAAAAGGGATTGCGCGTGCAAAGTCGCGGGGAAAAACTATTATTATGTGCTTTATTCAACAGTGTGTTTATAGTGGCCAGAAGATCAAAGTAATTGGTCAAATTTATTTATAACATTTTCGATTTTATGTCGATGTAATAAAGTTGAACGCGTAATAAAGAAAATGATTGGTTGACCTGTTAGCCACCATCCCCGTACATTAATCACAAATGATAATAATATATCTTAGTGCTTATTGCACATAAGACGACAATTATATGCTCACAAACTCTACAGACTCTACTGATTAATTTCGTTATTAAACTGTCAAACACCAAGCGGTCACCGGTGACCGCGACCTATTGTTCTTTAATTGTGTCTATAAAACCGGTACTCGACGAGTTAATAAATTAATCAATCATATAATGATCACCTTAATAGGAACGGGTAAATTGGACCAATTTGAATTAACAATGTGATTAGTTTCTTCATTAGATATGCTCAATACGGTAGGTTCTATTTTATTTTAATGTCTGTCTGGTACATACATTAATTTAAAACTTTAGACACGTATTTTTTCTTTTCTCACTAAATTAAATACTTTCGAAGATATATTAATTTGAAATAACGTGTGACGTCACAGCGTGTTACATTTTGTAGCACGTTATGACGTAATGACCTCCTACTCCTAAACTTAGCGCCATTTTATCTATGTATTGCAACGTAATACGAGAAAATAAAAAATACGTGTCTAATATTTTTTCATTATCTAACTGATGGACTAATTAGATTTTTAATTTTGATACCCTGGACACAACCCAATTCACTAGTGCAACATTGTGCATCAGGTATACCCATAAAAAATAGGTATACACTGAATGAACCCTTTTGGAGCATTTTTCAAATTTCAAAATATATTTCTCCACCATCTCTTTAGATGTTTAATTACGTGATCATGAGCCTTCTCCAATTTGATCATTAACAGTTAAGATGCGTACCTATATACATACACTACTCAACTTAACAATTTCTGTGGATACTTGACCTTCTTTCTACAAAATAGCATGTAACTAATAAAGGTACCAGTTGGTCGTAGATATCTGGTCCAGAGCGTGGTTCGAAGTATCGATACAAATAGTACCTGCTCAGCACAATACTCTAACGTTTCATCAATCGCAGAACCCGCACTTCGCTGCAGCTCCCAGCTTGCACACTTACCATCTCTGAGTATGAATGTGCTATAGCGCACTATTTACTAACTAATCTGTGACAGCTTACCGTCACAGATTAATAAATTCTAGGATTTGCGATCACAAAGTTTAGATTTCGATAGTATTGTTTTTGTTTTCGTTGATATTTTTCCAAGTAGATATTAGTATAATTATCAGCGATTCAGTTGTAGTATTGATCAGTAACAATAAGCTAAACAGATAATTTTTTACATAAGGAAAGAGTACGTATTGAATTTCCATATAGGAAAAAGTATCTAAATTTCCTTGTATTGATTTCATTTATGATGTCTGGAGCGTCATGGAATAAGTTACGAACCTATTGGTATAAGCTGGTCATATTTCATACCACATTCGAATATAGAATGCGACTGTTAGTCAAAGCTGTCCCACAATTTATCGCAATACAGCTTGTCTCATGCATACTCGAGAGACAGAGATAGTCTTTGTACGGCGGCCGAAGTCTTGTGCAATCTTGTGCGAACAAGCCATGTTTATTCGGTCGAACATTCTAGATAGCGGCGAGCCGGAATTATTTGTACGTTTGTCTATTCCTGTCCACTCGTGGAGATAAATCAATGTGGAAGACACGCTCACTACACTGCATTTGCTTTGGAAATTGTTAAATTGAAGTTTATTTTGCTAAGTGTTAAGCTAAATAAGGTTACAGGTTGTGAATGGTTAGTCATTAGAACGAATACATATGAACGGGAGCGACCACTGCTTACTAGTCAAAATTCATAAACTGGGAACGTTGATATTGTTTCTGATAAATGTATTTCTGGTTTATGAATTAATTCTTTCTTTCTTAAATATGAAACGTGCAATCTAATTAAGAATGAATCGATTCAAATTTACTTTGACTTTTATTTTTTTACGATTAAACAATCAATACACTGTTTGTTTGTTTGCTGCATTGAGTCATGGAATGCAAGAACATCACAGTTCACAATACAGTGATCATTCATAATATGTATGCTACGTGTATGCCGATACAAATATCACCACTACTGAAGATTATTATTCCTATAAAATGTGAATAGAATGACATAAAGCATGGTGCACACTCGGCGGTAATCCAGCGACCTAAATACACGCGGCGCGTGTGTCATCACATCGAGACGCCGGCTTAAAAAGGTAGCAACCAGTTGATACTGCCGACGATTTTATTCCTCCCAAAGAAAATATTGTACTTAGCGAGATTATGAAAAGAAAAAATATAATTTCTGAGATTGCCACTCCCTCTTCAAAAGAGTGAAGATATATTTTTGCTTATTCTCGTACTAAATCGCTTTCCTGAGTTGGCTTTAATGCGATTTTATTATGAAAAAAAGCAAATAAGATGTTCACCTGAGTGCTTCATATGAGCCGTATTTGATTTCGTTTTGCGTTTACATGTTTGGCATATTCGTTTGGATGCAAAAAATAATAACAATGTATCAAATGTTGCGTCCCCGCCGCGCGCCGCGGTGTAATGTAGCCGATGCGGGCGTGGCGCGGCAGCGTGCGGCAGCGAGCTCGTTATTTACCAATATGGAATATCAATGTGTATTTCACTTACACTCGTTTTTCATTTGGATCGGGATCCCGTTGCTAATAGGTGTCGTGTTCGTGAAATAAAATGCAAACTTTTTTTAATAATATTTATTAATACTCCCTTTTTTCTTATTACAATTTATGTACAAGATATAAAACAAATTAAATCAACCCTTTCATTAATCAGTTTGTGGGTACTCAGTAATAGCCACAATAATAAAAACGTTCCGTCCTTCAATCGTACAAATAAGTCGTCGAATTACATTTAATAACATCATACTACGCGTTATTTAAAGGAACATAGCTAGGTATATTTCTGCTACCGTACTATCGCAATATTTCAGTATTAAACTACTTTACAAGTATACAAGAAGATGGAAAAAGTGTAGAGTAGGCGGCGCGGCACGACGCGGCGTGACGCGGCGCGGCGCGGCGCGGTGCGGCGCGGGCGTCGAGTCAAATGGTACGCGCTCAATGTACGCCGCGTAAGTAACGAGCGACGCGAGAAAATCAATTAGACACTCCACCTTAAATAACCCCAAATTTACTTCGCCGTAAACCTAATAAGTCTCGTTTTACGCAGCGTAAATTGACTCTGTACGGGTCTAGATTAACATGAAAATTAAATTCTATTACCTGCGATGAAAATTCAATTTATACATAAAAGTTTTAGTGGAAAACAGTCAATAGATTCTTAATAATTATTTGTCGTTATTCCCTAGTAATTACAGGTTCAAGCCTCTTGTCATTGGAAACTGAGATTGCGGTACATTATATTTAGAATATTTATGACATGAGAGCAGTGAGTTTGATACAGCGGCGGGGCGGCGCGGCAGTGGCGTGAGCTCGTGAAGGCAAAGTTTCACCGTAGGCTTGTTGGGCAAGTTGTCTGTTTGTAATTCTCAACACAAACTTATTTGACACTGCAACACCCACAGGTGAGTCTCGTATTAGTTAGGGAGTAAAGCAGGGCGGGGGTGGAGGATGTTGAGTGGTATTATTCGCGTTAATAGACCTTATAATATACGCAACGGAAACACTGAAGACAGGGTAAGCGTTACATTTATAAGATAATATCTTATCATGACCGCATTATGATGTAATAATAACTTAAATGTTTTAAAGTTATTTATAACATTACTCGCTCGGTAACAAGATTCAAAATTATTTTATGTTTCACAGACATTCTTCCCACAAACTGAACTAAAAGTACACATACTGCCAACATGTTTTATTCATTCAAACTTTCCATTTCCAATGAAAAGAGGCTTTAGTTTAGATAAATAGGTTGTTCTAAGAACAAATTAAGAAAAACAGTTTTTCACCACTCAATGGTAGAACGACTAGGTACTTCATTATCCAATCTTATCATTAAACTCATTTATTTTGTATTTACAACAATACGAAATATTTACAATGCGATCTGATATAAACTTTATTTATTCTACATTATTACGTATAGTTTACTTTATTTACAAAAAATGTTTTACATTCACTTGTGTCTTAAACAATAATTCGTCAACAAAATTGTTCATTACGTTTCCAAAATTAAACTAATTTCTTGTAACTTAATGAGCATTGTTCAACGAAATCACATTTCATTTAAAATAAAACACATAATAATACTGACCGTCGTAATAATCACAAATTTTGCAAAAATGACAATTTAATAACAATTCCTAAATTATTTCTATTATTATTTTAATATTAAGTCTACAACGTTCGATGGGGTCGGAGCTGTACTAGTTCTAGTAAATGTTTAATATTACAACAACACAATATTATCACAATTTACTTCACCGTGTCAGTGTCGGAAGAGATCCACTTCTAAATTAATAAAGTAACTCAATCTGTCCGTCTATATGTACCTATCTATAAACTGATATTCGTGCTAACAGTAAAAGAGAGCGAGCAACGAGTCCTCTTTCAATATTGAAACTGTATTACATGCCAAAAGGATTTGCACATTTAATTATACTAATCAAATAACTTGAGTAACAAATTAGATTTCTGACTTTATAAAGTAAACATTAAAATAACGAAGAAATACATTTTTATCCGGTATCCGTGACTGGAATGTCGTGTTACAATAAAACGGAATGCTCGGTAAATAAAGGACGCTCCGTGCCCCCGGCGCGCGGCGACATCTGGCGGTTAAGCCGATCATCTGCAGACGGCCGACGACAGCAGGTAGGTGACGATGGCACAGCTCAGCTGTGACGTGAGGTAGGACGACGCTCGGTTGCTTGTCTGCATCGCTGCTGGGTGCTCGCCTGCATCAAACGCAAATACATGACATTCTATTTCATTCAAAAAGAATTACATAGTATGTGCAATACCCCATACTAAAATTGCACAACAATGTGAATCGGGTTCATTACTCGTTTCTGTACGATACTGGTGTAATCTGAAACAGTCCAGTAATATAATATTTACTCACCATTGAGCACGTGCACAGACACAGAGGCAGGGTGAGCGTTATTGGGCACACAGGTGTAGTTGCCGGAGTCCGTCAGCGCGGCCTTTGTGACCAGCAGCTTGCTGGTGGTGCCACCTTCAGTCTTCTCCGTCTCCAAACTGATCCCCCCGCGAGGGGAGTCGAAATCCACCACGGAGTTACCGTGGTACCTATTGGAAGATATGTTGGAATGTATGTAGTGTTTGCAAAATAATACATAAATTGGAAATTTTAAGACAAAATTCAAACAATAACCAGACGTCGGTTAGAGCTGCAGAGTAAAATTCAACGAAATGGAAACCAGGTCAAACACACATAGGTAGGTATCGGTGGCGTCCACGTAAATATTGCGAACAATAATATTTACCATAAAATTGAGGCAGTGGAGGGCGGCGACGAGTGCACATTCACTGAACACGTCAGCGATATTGTGCTGCCTTTCTTCACGTACACGTCCTGCGAACCCCATATGGTCGCCGCAGCCGCTGCAACAAATGAAACAGAACCTTCACTACATAACTTTACAGTACACAATCCCGTGGCGACAATCGTACAAACACTAGAAAATGCTTCCATATTTACAAATCGTATTCAAATGGGAATTCAGGGCTGATAGGTAAGGTTTTCAAATCTCAGGTAATGAAACTAGTAACATTTGGGAGCTACCGCCATTGGGAGTATTACGACGCGACGGTCCGTGTTTGCGTTGTTTAAGGTAAAAGGTTGAAAGTTCTCGATCAATGAGTCTAGATAGAACATGTTTCGTGCAAACTTATGAACATCGTCTAATGAGATCGCTTCTTCGAAGGTTTGTTACTTATGGTGCCCTCCACGCAGTTACACTTGCATGAAAATACATTAAAGTTTGTACATAAATAAATCTCAGTTGGAATCCCTTGTAACTGTTCCAGGGCCTACTTAAACAAGACAATAATGATGATGCAACTTTAAAAGCCAAGTCGAGCCAATTTCACTTTGACTAAACCTAATTTGACTTTAAAAAGTGTTTAACTTAGCATTATGGCTTTCTCTAACTTACTCAATTCCAAACACTGGTTGACGTAACGACTAAAACGTTTATTTTTATTATGGCAACCCACCGATTTGGATGTTGGCAATAAAATTTTATTCTCATTTCTGTGGCGCAGTATTTGACAGTAATAGCTCGTCGGCCAACTTTAGAATCCATTCAGTTCGGCCATATTTCTTTTTTCTTCATTAACTGTAAGATATATTCTCGATCTGCAGTGACAATCATGCATCTGCCTACACTTTATACAATCAGACGATGGAGATCAACAAATATGGGCTACACAAACTGGTCGCTACTGCATGGACCATCGCACTCTCAGTTCATGCAAATCAAAAAGCGCTACGTCATCGTATGCCCAACCAAACTCCGTCTAATATCGAACAAAACATCTCGTGCTGTCAACAGAAACACGAAAACTAAGCCGCTACGAATAGATGAAAGTATTATGAAGTACTAATGAATAAACAAATGAAAAATGTAATTAAAAATGAAGAGAAGGATACGAAACCGGTACCTGAGGAGCGGGGCGGGGCCGAGGTCGCGAGGATGAGGGACTCATCTGGAATTCACAAGACAACAGCTTAGGAGAGGGCGAGGAATACAAAACAGCATGTGACCCTACCGGAGATGCATCGAAAGAGTTGAACCTAGTATTAGATTTGGTAGAATTAGCGATACAGCGACATAGCAATAGAATGGAAATTAGTGAACTGGGAGTGCCTGGCAAACTGATGTCGCGGACGACCTTGACGCACTGTTTATTATTCAAATCACAGTTTGTACAGAAGTCTAGAGACTAGAAAATGGGGGATGACGTGATAGAATTATAACTATGTCTCGAGTGAGCTCAACTGGGGAGTTTTAGAGAACTATCAATTAGAATAGTTTAGACCCCGCCACGAATAGTAAAATTGTATAGGATAGAGAAGAGGGAGAGTTTCTACGAGTCCACTTACCATAAATCTGCGTGCTTAGTGAGTGCAAACATAATTTTATCAATGAATTTATATTTGATAAAATTAAAATCAAAGCGCTACAATATACTTTAATGAAGTACTTTCGATGGATTATTTGAATGGAAAATTCCGCACATTTTTGTAGCACGACAACAACAGTGTGGGCGGGTTATTGTCTTTCGATTTTCTTCTTCGTTGCTTGGAGTAAACTTGCTAATATCTATTATGCTAAATACTACAACGTTAATTGGTAGACAAAGCGCCAATTAATACTGTTAGTCTACATAAATTACACGCTCAATATTTATTTATGTTTATATTATAGTACTATTTTATGGTGCCTGGAAAATTGTGTTTAGATTTCACTCATACTATCTAGTACGAGTGAAATTATTTGACAGTGATGATTACCGAGTAAACATACGTATATATTACACTTTGTGCATCGATGAGCACATTCATGGAACCTGCAACTGGAGAACTCGTTCAATATAATTTTGTATAAAAATTCAAGTATCCATAAAACTATACAAGCTCAGTGAAGCATTGTCGGACATTTTTCAACAATAACAAGCCCTGTAATTGGCTGTGAGGTGAATTTGAGAGGTTCGCATGATGTATCTAGCGGCGAAGCGTGCACTAACAAATTGGCTACTATGAACACGAGTCGGTAAAAAATAGTGCTCATTTAGGCAACAGCGGTTTTGGTAACGAAACGGATTTGTTCCGGCACATAAGTCACCTAATCGATAACGAACTTTGAGTCTTACACTCGGGATTATATAAAATAGATCGAGTCCATTTCTCTTGTCGAAATGTTACTTGTGTAATGTCGTCTAGTCTGAGTCTAGTGAGAGCGGGGACAGGATACTTTGTAATGATAGCTCGTGCCGGAACACTACCAGCCATTTTGTTTTTATTTCAGTCTTGATTTACTTTAACTATATGAATATTTGTTCTATCGAATTCTGTCTGTCTTATTCCTATAATCAGAATTTTCCTGGCTTAATTTATGTTAATTTTGCTTATTAAGTAAACATTTTCAAAACAAAAATGTTGCTAAATATTTGTATAGCTCTAGTTAAAATAGAAAGTATAACTTTCTTGCTTGCAGAACTTACAACGAAGTCACACAAAATGTTGTGCCGTTCTTTTAAAGTTTACGGTAAAGAGCAAAAATAAAGAATATTTTCGAAAGTGAAACTGATACGAAAAGGACCCTTGAGATCCTAAGAAAGTAAATATATCGCCAAAAATAGAACACCCACTCTCTATAATATTTTACTTTGTGTAAAAATCTGACCATTTTAGTTGACCATTTAGTTTTACCATGGATATTGAATAATACAGCTATCGAATATTGTCCACACTTTTGCTGATGCGAGTTATATAGAAATATTCACGCTAAGCACTGATAATCCGCGTTTTATAATTAAAACCATAAGCTGTAGAGCGGCGGGCGGCGGGCGGTGAGCGGCGGGCGATGCAAACACTCAACGGATAGAGTTATTTTGTAGGGGCGAGTTTATAATGTTTCATAACGATGGAATAAAATTTAAGTGACAACAGCGTGTGCTCTAAACTTTCCGGGATGCGGTTAACTTAAAAGGGTTATGCTTTTTTTATTATATAATCTGTGTGAGCGGGAGTTTGTCGTCACACTGCCTCGCTCATCTGTATTGTGACAGCTGGCAGGTGATACTTAACAAAACGTGAAACAATGAGCGTTATGTTTCTTCTTAGAATAGGTAGTTATACGGTATTTACGCTATTTATTTTTCTTAAAAATATCTTGGTAACTTCTTCTTATATACGCGCAAAGTATAAACATAATTCACAGCAAGTAAACAATAAATTAATAAAATTATTCCGATACTATTTCTCAGTTGACATAAAGCCCAACAAAAAGATTCAAATTCGTTGTTATATCAGTGCGCAGGGAATAGTAAACATCGTACATATTTGCAAGATAAAAGCATTTTCCTGCTACATGAACAAGGACAGAAGAATTTCTCAGTCCATTGAAACATAACAGTAATAGTTTTCCCCATATTTTTTCCTGAATAATCTGTGTGAGTCCCAGTACTTTCAGGCCAATCTACCGTGTGCCTATTGATTCGAACGCAGCCGTGAGTTTTACTTTGACAACTCATGTGATTGCCTGAACTCAATGATTATTTAATTGCCGTCCTCCGTCTTTCAAGGGAAGCAGGTTTAGTGTGTGATGAATTTATTTTGCAAACTTGATTGGATTATATTTCTGTGATGTTTGTAGGTAGTACTTAGCACATTGTAGAATAAGTGAAATTGTTGGAAGACAAAATTTGATTTTAATTAAAAGTATTTCGTTAAATATCGTTTTGTAAAAACATAATTCGTTAATAGAATTTTACGTCGACAATCACTTAAAAGTTAGCTAAAAACCTTAATCTATTTTAGAGATGAATTTTTTCTTCTGAAATCAACAAAAAATAACACAGGTACTTTTTAAGGTAGCAATTTGTTTAATTAACCAACTCAATTGTTTAGACCTTGACCCGCTTTGTCGCGAAGTTTTTATAAAGAGCCCGGCGGCGGTTTAATTCTAAAGATTCATAATCGGATAAAAAAATACCACCGTTTACGTCGCTAATGGGTTCTGCAGAGATATTTTCCTGGCTGTTAGTAATTACCCGCTTTTACCTACACAGTACACACTAATCGTTTGGGAGAACGATGTCTTGTTTTCTATTGCTGAGTGTTATATCGTATTTAGGTTATAAGAAGTACCTAAGTAGGTTAAAGTTACATGTGGAATATTGCAAGGAGAAGATGTAATATAATTTTGTGGTCCATTATGGGTAGTATTTAGACTATAAATGATTTACTTACGACTCAAAATGTTGACACTGGCACACGACCAGTCCCCAGACAACTAATTTAAGGACATGGTTTTTATTTATATTTAACCTCAAACGTTGCTATAAAGATGATCAGTCACAATCGGTGATAGAAATAAGACGCGCAAAGTCGTAACAAAGGACTATCTTATCCTACCAAATCTAATTCACACAGCTACATTGATTTTATAAATAATTCCTATTAAATTGATGACGGAACGATTCTCTCCTAAAGATTGCTTTAAATTATTCATTGGAGGACCATTCGGCCTTCATTTATATTGGATACTTTCCTTTGATCGTTCATTACGCTTCGCCCCAGATCTGATAGTTTATCAGTTTCTGATAAAACGACAATACTTTTTAGTATTTTTGTTTTAAAAAATGTCTTCCTGATTTTATTTTTGTTTTGAATCAGGTCAAATACTCACTATCTTCATTAAACCATTAATGAAGATAGTGACATGATTTGAGTTGGGTAAGTTCTTTTGCTAAATAAAACGTATCATATGTTTATGCGATATGCTTCGTAGTCCGTGCTAGTTATATTATGCATGAACTGCTTATGGACAATAACATGAAGGCCTTACTTTATTCCTAATAGTAATTCATCATCAATATTGCTGTCAGATTATTATTGAGACGTTTTACAGATTAAAAGTCTGTAAATGAAATCCTAAAGATACAGTACTAACAAACAACGAGACAATAATTACGTATCAAAATGTAATTAAATACGAAAATATTTCACATCGACATTATTGTTATTTTATGTCTTCGTAATGCTAAGGGCTTTTATCAGGCCTCTGTTAATTAAGTACAATGATGAAGGACAGATAATATTGTTACAGCGGTCACGCTCATATTGCATTCTCTTCGAAAATGTAATCACTAGGATTATGTGCTTATGAAATGGGATTCCAACGCATTATTTTCTATAACTATTTACCTCGACCACTCTTTTATCTCAGACATGTTTACTTTTTTTCGAAGAAAACTACACTTACTTTTTATTAAAATAGTACTAAGTCGATAATATTTTTCCATTTGATATGTTATTGTCTCAGCTTTAGGTGGGACGTGTCTCACGTTACTCGGCTTACTCCCGCAGACTCAATAATGACAATAGATGTTTGTACTTATCTCTTTTTCTGGCAATTCATGTACTCACAGGTCAGTGTCACTGGTCTGCCAGCAATTTTCACATTTATTATATAAAGCAAAGCCTCCCTAACACGAGTAATATCCCCCGAGTCACGTTCACCAATAACGTATCGCAATTGCTCGGCTTAAAATCTCAACCGTTTATAAATAACTTATTACAGGCCGTTTTAAAGGTCTATGAACGTTTAAAGACGCTTCATGAGGTTTAAATTGAATGAAAGGTTTCACAAGATTTCGCTTGAAAAGGTTACGAAAGGGTAATTAAAGAGAAAAAACTCTATTTAATCGTAGTCGAGTTAGATTTGAGAACCTATTACACAGATTTATTAGTATAAAACAGTGGACTGTCGAAGCAAAAACTGTTCACATTCATTAATTCTCTCTATTAATAAAAACGTATCGCCATGAAATTTTAATAAAATAACTTGCGAGTGTGATACAAAGAGTGCGCGCGTCGCGTGTGACGTGGATAGATGTGTTCCACTTTGTACCGCGGCATTAGACCCACTACTAATATGACGAGAGATGAATGCCGGATTACGCCATCGTCACTTTTCATGCGTTATATACGATCCCACGGACTAAAGGACCAAGGCTTTTTGTATTGTTTATCCTTGTTACATGAGGACGTTGTGGATAATGGCCTGATATGTTTCTTTTTAAACTTGCTTGTGCAATATTATTCCGAGTCAGAAGGCTTTTTGATGACTATCATGTCTGTTAGTAGACATCACACGCTAATTATTCTATTTTAGGCAATTCGAGATTACAACATTTTATCAGTATGGATATATATTTACCCACAAATGTGTAAACACATTTTGTGCAATCACAGACAAAATCGACCCTTATTTTTATGACGTAACGTACTACAATCTCTTGGCTACCATCTACATTAGGACAGGTAAAGCCAATTTTAGTTCATAAAAGCAAAATGTAATTTTTCGTAAGTACCTCCAATTTTACCCCTTTTACTATTTTCGCTCATTTTATTTAGGTTTTCATTGCCGGATATGATTACCTCGCTTGTAATTCGAGGGTCGTCGTGACCCGCCCTTCGTAAAATATGTAGGAACAATTTCAATGCGACATTATACATTCCGTTTGAGTATAGCATGTGCTTTGTAACAAAATGTGTGTAATTACATTTCATATAGGTATATAGTAAGATATTATACTAATTGACGTGCAGATTGTATTTATAAACATCTTAGAGTGCCAGCTAATATAATATGTTCAAACGAGTTTAATGGTAGACTCGTGATTTGCCTTAATGTATGCACTTTAATAAATGTTCACTAAGTTAATTTAATTTATGATAATAGCGTAATACAATTACTTATTGAAATACGAGGTAAAGAGCTGTCTATTACTGATATAATAAGCCGGGCTCAAGTTTCTTTTAACGCTAACTTTTTCACAAAAATTTAATCACAATTAAGCAATAAGGATAAAAGTATGGAATTTGTTTCTTCGGCTGTGTATGGAATACTGAAAATATTTTATATTAATAATCTAATTTATATTTACTTTAGGCAAGGACCAAACTTGGTTTTCTAATTAAAATATTTAAAAGGTTTTTTAAGTGCCTGGCTACTTGTGTAATTATGTTTTAATTTCGTTTCTGCATGAGTTTATATTTTTGAATAAGATTAATTGAGGAAGTCGAATGTTATCATAATTTTACCGAGCTAAATCTGTGGTAGCAATGTACAAAATATTATCTATTTGATACAATATAATTTGTAATTGTAGAACGAAATGAGCTTGATAATGAACACAACCAATGTCAGTCCATGACAGGTGGATTAATTCCGATACTAAATGTAATTTAAATTTGTTGTTTTAATGCTATCATCATTATATTTTGTGCAAACCTTTAAATATAAATGTGTATTCTTGTACTCATGAATGTACATATATTCTGAGAACTTAACTATGACTTACAGTCTATACATATACATTATATACAGACTGTATGGTATACTGACTATATAATCAGTATATAGTATGTAACACACATTAGAACTTGTATCGGTTTATTTAGTGTGTACTTGAGTTTAATATTTTTGATGAGATACTTTTACGATCCATGATTAATCAATGAGGCCATGATCACAATTAAATTTCACCAATGATCCTGGGTGTCAATATAATATTGAAACTATCAAAGTCTACCTAATTTGGAGAATCACAAGTGTAAGGTGTAGGTGTAGGTTCTCTACTTAACACAAAAACTCCTAATAAAACTAATCACGAAGAATAAACATACACCAAATAATCTGCTACAAATTCTAATCTTAGTTTCATACAAGTTGCGTTATAAAGTCACCTTCGACCGTAAGTATCACAGCCATGTTTATCTTTGGTTCCGTGTTGATCTGACACTCGTAGACTCCTGCGTCCCTCGGCTGCACGTAGTCTATCTTCAGGTCCCAGTCGTCTGAGGGCTCAGGGTGCAGGACGCTGAACCTCGCGTCCCCCGTGTATGTGAAGATGTGGGAGGTTAGGATATGAAGGTCACGTTTCCTCATCCATGATACCTGGGGAAGAGGTATATGTTAGTCCAATGTAGGATGAACTGTTGTAGATGAGATCAGAATATGCAGGACATGACATTACTAGCTTGTGTAAAAATGCCTCAGTTGCTAGACGCCGGATACGATCCAGACTGATACAAACTTCAATAAGACCTTTATATTAATTATGCGTATGTCTAATTGAATAACATCCAGTTAACCAAAACATAAAGCAATACAGTATCTCAAACGTCAATAATAACTCAATTATCAAACGTCCAATGTAATTCCAAACGTCAAGTTTGCCTATAACATGAATTACCAACTTGGGCCCCGTGGGCTTCAAAAACTGGCCAACTTGACTCCAACATCAGCATTTTCGAATAAAGTCGGCCTAAAGTTCGCAATCCAACTTTACCTGACGAATATCAATTAGCAACCACTCCATATTACTCCGAGCGCCTTTCGCTCGTCTGGTAAAATTAGGATGAATATCGTTAACATCAGTATTCAATATACCGGCCCAGTACGAGCTGGTCCCTTTTTGATTAGTGCTCCAATATTGATCTGTGTCTGTTAATATTAATAGAATATGGTGGTCCTCTCACTATTCCCTTTATCCATCTATTCGTAGAAACTGAAGTGGTTCGGGAATAGTGTCTCGAGTCCCGAACACTGAATCTGTAGGGACTCGTACATACGTGCTCCGAAATAGTTATGGACGAGTCGCCAACTTAACACCTTCACGTACTTGTACTTGTGCCACAACTTGCGACACTTTTGTATTAAACTTATCCAGTTAATGTTCTGTCGTGGTTACGCCTAAATATGTTAACGAATTATTTTATGTCTATTACAAAATTAGTTTCATACTGTGATGCAAATTGCAAGCTTATGTTTAACTAGTATTGACAACATATTATGCTGTCCGTTTCAATGTAGTTAGTGTATAATATAATCTAACGATATGTTGTAGGTATGTATATCCTCAACAATATTCGTTTCAGATGAGTCGGTTATCTTGTGACAAGGTTATCGTGCCGACTTAGAATGAGCCATACAAACATGTAAAGCGCGCCGGCCTCACAGAGCCGAGCGACTTATTTTTCCGTGCGCCTACATCACAAAGAGATAGGCCCGTGCCCTTTGATTAAAATTACACCGACAATAAACGTTTGAATTATATTTTTAATTCGAGAGCTCTCCAGACTGAGAAATTAGAAAATAAATTCCCCTCCCTTTTGTTGGGTTTTTGTTTTTCTACGTAATTAGAGTAAGCTGGGGTGAGCCCGTAAGTCCGCCCTGTAATTAAGCAAGATGGAACGTCCTCAGACTGTTTACAGCCTTTAAAATAATAAAATTAAGTAACGGCTAAGCGACTGAGAGGTTTTTTTTCAATTCCTCTCGAGCGCCTGCAGAAATTTGATGAATTAACCTCAGCATTGAAATGGGTCAGTCGACGTCGCTTTATGTTCCGCAAAAAACTGTGCAGGATATTTGTTTATTTTATTATCCTCGTCAAGGGCTAAGGAAGATTTATTCTGTCCTGCTCGCAGTATATTCTGAAGAGGAAATGTGTAGGATTTACTAAGATCATCCGCGAGTTTATGACAATGGACGGCGCTAAATGTTTATTTACAAGAAATGCCGCACATTATACAACTTTATCTTCGTCTTTGAACTTATAAAGCTTTGGCACACTCTTTGAAACCCTCAGTAGAGATGAAATAAAATCGATGAAGGCATCACTTCATACCGGGAACATCCAGGAAGAGGGAGAAATAAACAGGCAATACTGTGCGAATAAAGCAATGTTTATAAATTACACAATATTGGACAAAACAAGTCCGCAGCCAGTGGAAGAGGAAACACGGACGATATAACTATACATAAAGGTGTACCGGCATCGCCTGCGGTGACCCAAATAGTACATTTGTGCCAAATTGCTGTTAAAGCTATTTTAACGAGTATGATCATTATGACAATATCAGTCCATTACAAGGGTCATTTCAGCGTTGATTTTCGGTAATTTTCGATTGAAAGAATGTTTATATGGAGGAAACATTTGGTTAAATTGTATCGATTTCTGGTTTAAGTGGCAGCTGCTATATCACTGCACACATAATTAGCATAATAAAATCATTGTTATCGTTTAGCTGAAACATTTACACATACATTCCCGCTATCGTTTTACCCATGGAGCTATTATCTTGTAAAACAACAAAGCTTATAAAAACGTCAGTAACTTAAACCGTTTCCACTCAGCATACATTGAACCCAACACAGAAACCCCATCACGACGGCATAAAAACAGAAAAAATCCTAAAAAGGGGTTCGTAATCCACGAGGCCTTTTTACAAGAAAATGACGGCAGATAATCCATGCCGAACAATATATTATAATGCATCGTAGGACATGTCAGATGGCTATTTATTTTCTCGAATGGGTTGGGGATCCCTCAACCATTAATATGGCGGCCAGTGGACCGAACCTGAGGAGGGATATCGAACCAATGAGGACATCGACATTGAAAAATGATATTTCGAGAGGTTGCCAGGTGGCCTGCAGCCCTTATGGGAGCAGAGGTCATGTGAATTTTGATTTGTATGTTTCAATCTGTTTCGGTGGGTAGCTTAGGTTCATACTACGTATTCATTCTGAATTTGACACTCATTCCTCTCATTGGAATGATAATAAGATAAATTGATTGTTGTATATTGTAATTTCAAATTTCATTAGCGTAGAGTAAATACATACAATTCCAGCTGGAGCGATGCATCAGTCATCACTCAGCGTCGCTACGTAGGTACCTATACATTGCTGGCGTTGGTTTAGTTACAAAGCGTATGTATAGAGCATAGTAATCAAGGTATTAATGACTAAGATAATAACCGCTTGGGTTAATATCTCGGTCGACTGACCGAAGGGGATATGACCGCAATCATTGGCGTAATAATAGTAATTTATGTTTCGGATTATGTTGATGGAATGCCCCGGACTTGTAACATGTCTCAGACGATAGTTGTAAATCTTGATTAAGGGATTCCAAGTTTTGATTTAGGAGTGCGACCAGTAGAAATAGTAGGAGGGAGTAATGAATACAGTAGTAAATATCCTCAGGTTCAGTTTGTAATTGATACTGTACAAGTTTGTTATTTGAAGTGGACGGCGAGGGATCGAGAGGCGACGGGAGCGTCACGAGCGACTACTCAGTTTGTTATCACTCTATGAACTGCTGTTTATTCTAGGTAACTAGTTCACTGCAGACTACTTCTTACACTATTTTATAGCTGATTTATGGCGCAAACGAATGAAAAGAGTCGTCTTGCGCAAATAAATTTAAATTAGAAGTCGCAGCATAGCGCCGCAGTGGCGTTTATGTTTCTATTTATTCTTTAGATATTTTTTGCTGCTATGTAATTGATTGTTAGTAAAAATGAATCACAATTTCAGGAAGTTTGAAGAAAAGCGAGATATGTACATACATTGTACATACTTCAATCAAAGCAAAAACTTTTGAACATTTTTTAACGAAGCGTTTTGTTCTTTCCTGTAGAGAAGAACAAACAAGAACGACCAACATTTTACCCATAGGTAACATAATTTACCGTAGATACTCACAGTTCTATTCCCTATGTGCTTGGCCCGGCACCGGAGCACGGCGGCCTGTCCGACGACGGCGGACACGTTCCGAGGCGACACGTCGTCGAAGTAAGGTCGTTCCGGACGCGTGCCGTCGCCGCCGCTCACGCCCGGTAAACCACCTGCAACAAAAGTATATTCTAACTTAGTTATTGTCAATAGTACAAATTCTACCTTACAGTATTGGTAATAAAAGACAATTTTACAAAAATCAGAGTAGGTCTTCATAGCAATAATGCACAACGAATAATTTTGAATGACTGACAAAGTTTGCGTGTATCCGTACATGTGTTTGAAATAGGCAAAGGGCAATTAAAAAGATTTTATTAATTGAAGAACCATAAATTGCGAGTAATTAAGTCGTAAAGAGTAAGTTGGTGGTAATCTTTGTTGCCCCCGCTCTGTTACTCACGACAAACTCCGAACATAATTAAAGTATTTTTGGTGACTCCAACTTCAGAGCGCAGGAGACGTCATAAATAATTAACAAGTTTAAATGGCGGGATCTTGTTTTTATTTTAATGGCTTTCACATTTAATTACTCATATAGGAAATTATACCATCTAAAATTAACCCAATTCCTTAATCAAACAGGTCACCAACTCAGTAGGTCAACCATGACTTGTCATCTAAATATTATTCAATCAATTTTTAATTATTATGAAATGGAAAATCTGACTGCCTCGTGGGCTGAGTGGTCACAAGTGAGACTGCCGGGTAAGGGATCTTGGGTTCAATTCCAGGGTCGGGCAAAGTAATACAGGATTAAAAAAAAAGATTTTGGAATTGTGCGCGGTATATGGCTATAGACTCACCCATGGGACTTACAACATAAAGGATGGTACATTGTACAGTGGCATTAAGTTCCGTAACGTGTACCTCTGCATACTCCTTCGGGGATAAAAGGTGTGGTGTTACGTTATGTAGTAGAATACGATAATAGTTAAAATGATTGTTTTGCATAATACAATAATAGCAACTTAAATAAGGTCACCTCCAAATTAAATAAAGTCAGAACATAATTTAATGCTTGTATACCAAATACGAAATACAAATGTGATCCCTTGACAAGGAGTCGTGTGATTCGTGGGGATACAAGCAATTATCCCTCGCGACAACTTGAATGAAATCTTGAAATTAACAAATACGAGTGACAGCGTGCCACCTGAGGCCGACACACGACGCGCCGTGATTTGCATACTGTTTGTGTTCGCTACACGCTCCACGCGCTGGGCGGCTGCTGGGCCAATGTTGGGCCAATGTTGGGAGACGGATGACATGCATCTGTCATAAAGGTTGATTTGGGAATAAATGTAGGTGTCGGTGTACTTAATACGTATAATAACTAAATACGTATATGAAAACCAAGCTTTTGTACCAAAATTATAAGTTTAAAAACTGAAAGCTACGTTGGGCTTCAATATGCTAACGTTCAATACCAATATTTACCAAATTGGTTAAAAAATGTACAAAATTTTTAGATCAAGACTTTAAAATGTTCACCGAAAACTTTTCAATTTAGACGTCCCTAGCGAACTCAATTTTGCTAACAAAACATTGGTTAAGCGACTATCGTATGCGAGCGATTTTGGGCAAACATTGGCGCCAACGTGGTGTCGTCAGCCAACGTAATATGCCGCAGCCGTGTTTACAGAACTAAGACATGTCCCGAGATGTATCTGACAACACAAACATAACTTGATTATTTAAGTTACGAACATTTATTGCGTTCGATGGTACACAGATTTTCATATGCAAACATGTTGAGGTGACTGTGTGATCTTGTTATCTCGACATATTTATAGTATATTATGTTTTTAAACGTAAACACATGACTCTACTGACATTTTTCTATCACAAATCTCCGGGTATTTATCCAGTAAATAATTCAACTTGCGAAACTCATTACAGTAAGCCCGGTAAAATGTTGTTTAAAAATTGCATTATAAGAGTAAACATAATCAGTGTTATATATTATAATACAACAAATTTAATAAAAATGCTAACAGCCTAATTCTTAAAATAAGATGTTTACTTTCCCTCGAGGGAGGCCTCGTTCTGTAAGAATTACACTCTAAACTGTTTTACTGTTTGCTTAGAGTAAAATGAAAATATAAAACGTGCCTGTTTTACCGACCAATTTCTCAGTTACACCGGTTTTGTTGTACTTTGAAACTAGAACGAATACCTGTGTATTATGCTGTAATGTAAATAAAAGTTACGAAAAGTGTCATCAAATATTTTCCTGTGTAATACAAAGTAGAGAAAAAATCTTGGAAACATCTTCCTCGTACGTATTAGTTTAGTTCAGAGGGAGCGCTATAAAAGTTTGCATCAACTAAACAAACACTGTGTATTCAAATCTCGGAGATTAAGAAAACAAAAACAACATATTATTATTGGAATGTGTCGGTGAGCGCTGTTCGTTTCCGGTTACGTGACGTCACACCCGCCGAACCGGAAATAAGAACGGAGCCTTTGCCCGCCCTCTTATAAAGGAAACACGGCAGAGCACATAAAGTTGCGGTGGGGCCACTAGAGCGGCGGGCCACTTGTACCACATTATTACAAGGAAAACTTTCACAAAAACTTCTTTATTTGAAAATAAACATTTTGACCAACATTTATTGTAGCCTGAGTGAATCTTTTATACTGTTACACGGACTTTTGTTGCTTTTATACACTGTATAACACAAAGTATACAACCGTGGAGTAGCTGTATAATAATATAAACCTACATATTGTTATCTATTTGGGGTTAACGCTGTACAAATCTGAATTATAAAACAATGACAATTACGAAAGCATTCGATTTTCTGTTAGGTACTTTAAATTTAATGTTTACATAGTGCCTAGAGACTACGTATTTTATTTAGACAACACAATTTCTTCACATGCTACTCCCAAGACGAGACAAGACAACAAGGCGACTCGCTCCCCTCCGAGCCCAGTACGATAAGTCTGCGGTGCAGTAAGAAAATGGAAATGACAGCGATGAAGTTCTTTTGTGAGTCGAGTCCGCGAGTACCAAGGTTGGGAAGCTTTTGTCTTTTGTCTGTGTGTACTACAGCCTTACGTGTGTTACTAACAGGTATCTGATAGCTCTGTCTTCATTCGTTTGGCTTTGACAACTTTCAAAGCATTTTTTTATCATTATTTTTTTCGGGTAACTCACGTAAGTGTTTGCCGAGAACTCAACTAACAGTTACGTGACACGTCGTGTGTCGCAGAATGCTGCTTATCTTTAAATCCCCAAAAGGCCAGAAAAGCACTTGTAATGCCTTCGGTGGTCCGGGTGTCCATGGGCGACGCCGATGGCTTACCATCAGGTGATCCACCTACTCGTTTGCCGGCTTATCCCATAAAAAAATATTAATATGAGCCTCTAGTATGACTTGAAACTAGTCGAGTTCCTCGTCAAAAATTACGTGAGTAAGCCGAAATACACAATATTAATTTTAATATGGATGACGAAATATATAATATAAGCATTTTTTTGTAAAGTAGTGTACAATTACTTTTGAATAAATGTTTGTGTATTTTTTAAACGTCGCCCCACACTAGGATTTTCTCCTGTGTCGTTTTGTTCGCATTTGTTCACAAATGAAAGATACAATTTCGTTTGCTATAAGTTTTGCTGTCATAGGAATTCCACAGGGTTCCAATAGGTACTTATACTCGTATACTTACTAATTGAAAGAACAACGAAGTCTAAAGCATCCCGGCGTTTCGTGTTTTAATTTCCAAATTAATAGACAAAATATATTTGTCTAGTCATGAAAATCTATTTAAATGGCTAAAAACCAGCGTACTTTATGCTGGATTAATAATATTAAAATATTAAAATATTTAATTCTACATTTCATTTTTTAGCGAGAAATAATTATCAAAGATCTGAACTCATTAATTTAAAATCGTAAAAGGTTAGGACGGTTATATATTTTCTTAAATTCAATGAGTAGGTACCGTAATTTATTTATGAAGATTCCTAGAAAACTATAATAAGGAGAATGATATCAAAGAAAATATTTATTTATTTAATTTAATTAATATTGTTAATGTTGTTTAGCCACGGAATAATATTATATCTCCAGTAAGTTTAGTAGTATCCAAGATATTACCTGGATATATTTGTATTCCTAGAAAATTTGCTTTTGAAGATTGTAATATTTTTTCCTCGATCTCTTTTCATAAACATATTTAAGAATAATTAGCTTTTCTATATCAAAGAGTCTTCCAAGTAAGGTATATTTTTATCTTATACAATTAGCTTATGCCTAAATACTCGACCGCAAAAAAAATTTAAGTCGCACTTAAGTCTAGTTCTGTCATTATAAATTCTTTGTACATACAATGAGAGAGATGGCACGATATTGATATGCTAGTTAAAATTGAGTAGCCTTTCAACATTCGGGCGTCAGTAGTATAATAAGATTATTTTAACAAACTTTACAATAATGTCAATGCGATAAGAACAGAACTTTTCATTCCATTCAAAATACAGTTTTCGTTAACATCCCGCTGGCCACTCTGTAAAAAGGTAGGTATGCGACACACTGTCTGACGGCAGTGATGGTGCGGCGAGAGGCAAACGATAAAAAATAACCTTAAAATAACTCGTTCCCAAGACCAAAGCACGATGTAAAAAAACCGCGATATATTATAAAAACACGATATTCCAGGCAGTTCCTGTAACAATGACATTTGGGGCATGTCCTCGGTGCTAAAAGAAATAAACCACACTGCGCTACATTTACAGTAGCCCCCCCCCCCTCCCCCCGGACCCGCGCCCGCGTCGCTCCACTGCGCTTCGCTTCAAAATTCCCGCTACCTGAAAAGATATATTCTAAATGGATTTAAACCGAGGTAGAAGCAACACTTTATATCGCTGAAAGCTGAACAATTTTCGTGATACTAACCGTTTTCTGATATTGCATTGCGGAGTTATTGCTAAGCGTTCCGATTTCAAATGGGTGTTGGCGAAGCAAATGGATGGAATTATTTTTATCGGACCGCGCCGCGGTGAAATACAAGCGTTTTATTTTATCACGGGAGCTTGTGACTTCTAGTATTGGTGAATCGTCAATATCCAACGTATGAAAAAGTCATATGTTAGAATTTTATTAAATAATCTATAAAAATATTAGTTCACGCCTCCCCATAACTAAGTATTTTTAAGATCTGCTTTACTAAATGGCGATGACTTTGTTGGTCTGATCATGATACTTTTAATGTAAACTAATTTTAAAAGCACAAACTAACGACGTCAGTTTAATAATCAAGAGACAACATTAGACTACGTAATTGGTATAAATAACTGCCTCACCAAGTACTATCGAGTAACAAGTAAACAAACCAAATTCCTGCTATTAGTAGCGACACTATCAGGAACGTTCAATCACAATCGTTTAGAAGTACATATTTCAAG